ATATTCATGTGAGCTATGGGACAACTGCGGTGTAGTAAATTCTTTAATTCTGGAAAATATCCAACTAGAAGCTGCAAGAATAGTCACAGGGTTGCCCATATACACAAAAATAGATTTTTTATATCAAGAAACTGGATGGGTTCCTCTTTCCAAAAGACGAGAAGCTCGAAAACTTGCTCTATTTTTCACTATTATTAATAACACAGCACCGAATTTTCTAATAGACTTATTGCCAAATACTGTAGGAAATGCTACTCCTTATAATCTACGTAACAACCATTTACTCAGAGAACAGCCTCTTCGTTTACAACTATCACAACTTTCTTTTTTTCCTTCTACATCAAAACTTTGGAACGATTTAAATGTTACTATCAGAAATTCTCCATCCCTTAACTCATTCAAGAATAATGTTAAAAAATCCATACTAATAGATACTAATATCTGTAAAACTTTTGTAAATCATGGTCCTAGGAAACTAAGTATTCTTCATTGTAGACTCAGAAATCGAGCAAGTCCCCTAAATTATGACCTTTTTAGAGCCAATTTATTAGCTAGTGCTGAGTGCCGTTGTGGGCATCCCTGTGAAGATTCCTATCACTTCTTTCTAATCTGTCCTGTTTATGCCAATCTGCGTCGATCTCTATTAACAGAACTAGCATGGTTTGAAGGTAATATTACAATAGATCTTCTATGCAAAGGTGACCCGAATATATCTGATGTTAACAATGCAAAAATTGCAAAGGCTGCACAGCATTTCCTCAACAGGTCGGGTAGGTTCGACTGATATATAATTATACTTCTATATACAAAATAAGGAGTTTCTCTCTCTCTCCCTCCCCCTCTTTTCCCGTCTCTCCCCCACCTCTCTCCCTCTACCTCTCGCCTCTCTCTCTCCCTCTCTCTCATTATCAATATTATAACTTAAGTGGCTATTCAATTAGTTTTTTTCATCTCTTGTGTATGATACGCATTCATTTATATATGCCACCATGTGACTTGTTTTTGTACTATATTGTATATATATTGTTGGGAGAAGTCGTCTATAAGTTGGCAAAACTTACTGACCAATCCCTTTGACTTTTCTTTGTCAATAAAATATGTTTAAACTAACAGATATATATATATATATATATAAACAGATATAAACAGATATAAACATATACATATATATATATATAAACAGATATAAACAGATATAAACATATATATATATATATATATAAACAGATATAAACAGACATTTTGATTCGTTTTCAGCTTTTTATTTATCTTTTTGTTTATAATAACTCTTATCAAATTTAATTTAGTTTGAAATTAAATTCTACTTAGCCTGTTGTCCTAGGATAATATTTAAGAAAAACCCTGCCGTGGTCTTAATCGGTTATCACCTTTGATTGCATGGAAGGGATTTCTATAACGGACACTTGGTTTTGATGCTGCGCTGATCGAGTGTAGTTGTTTACATTAAATGGTAAGTTGCTGTGAACTGAACGCTGCGGCAGCCTTGGCTGGTATTGAAAACACTCTTTGCATTGATGTCAGACGCTGATTTATGTCGGATGTTGATTACATTTATAGATAATGCAGTCATGGTTGAATGAAAACCTACAATGTTTAGATATTCATGCAAGTAATTGTAGCAATGTGTTGAACATTTAAGTGAATTATACATGCAACTCATTGATCAAGTCAACTATCATGCTTATATACAGTTCTATAAAGCATAATGAAAAATATATATTTCATTGGAATGTAATAACATGACCATGTTTCGGAAACATAAGCAATCACCCAGGGCTGTTTCTGTACATTGTTTAAATGAACACTGTCCTGTTACAATTTAATGATAGTTGGCTACGCGGTTGCTGAAGCGTTATCAACATTAATTAGGCTTAAGTCATATGTAATTCACTATTGCGAGAAAATACGTTAGATCCCAATAATAAATAAAAATAATTATTTTCCCAGAACTCTTCATTTATTACTCTTGAAAGAACTTCAATTTCTTGTCGGAAATCAAAATAAATTATTGATAATATATAACCTTTGTCAGATAATGCAGACTAAGGAACGCTATGAAAACGGAAATATGGTAGTTTATTTGTGTTCCTGTTGTACTAACGACAGAAATACATTTAAGTTCTCGCCAACGCAACATATATTGTTTTATACGTGATAAGAACGTTGACGGGCGGCTTAAGGTGTCCAATACAGGCCGAGGATAAAATGACAAATATTGATTTTTTATCTAACATCTCTACTGTTTTCGAAGAGAAGCGAAAAAGAAACTATTCAAAAGCTAAATGTTGGAACACATCTACAGGAAAAGGTTAAGGTTTAGTTGCCCTGTCATGGCTCCAACATATATATTTATGAACCTGAAAGAGACATTTTTTTTCTCGATATAATCAAATTTCGTTGAGTGAGGAAGGACAATTTGATATTTTTCATAAGTGTTGTATTACATTTCCACACCTTTCAATGATGCCAATTTGAATATATTGCTGTGTTAAAACTGAAAATATGAAAACTTGTTATTTTCACACAGTGAAAAAAAATCAATATTTCATAGAAAAACCTTATATTTTACTTATATTTAATATTTTACTGCGAAAAATGTCATAAACACTATATATTTTCTGCTCAGATAATTGATAAATAAAAGAAGGTTATGGATACAATCGTTAGCACTATTCGCTGATGAAAATCTGCCTATGGATATGGCGATGTATTTACAGCAGTGCAAATCTTCATTAGATCTAGCGAACGATATCAATTTGCTGGTTTTGTTGTGATTGTTTTAATTATAAACAGTTATCGCTAGGTTAAGTCATTATCTGTTACTGACCTGTGGGAAATACAACAATGTCTGGTCTTACATATTACTTCACATTCTTCAAGACATCAGTGTCTCGTTGTAAGACACATGTCTTAGCTACATATCAAAACCCTCTTGATTTTATTTATTTCAACAACCTAGTGTCTCGTTGAGAAGATATTTTTATCTACGATATGTAAAAGCCCGCCTCCATGTGATATCGAACAACAGTCTCGTTGACAGGGACACGAATTCCCTACCCATTAAATATGTATGGACCTTGGGTTGGGAATTCGTGCCGAGTCCCTGTGGTCTCGTTATGAGGTAGCATATTCACGTGATGTGTCCGGTTATCAAGTTACCGATGAGACAGTCAATAACAGATTACTAAAATGTTGATCAAACATTTAACTTGAAACTTAAAATTGATGAACCTTGAGCAACCAATTTCAATATTTTTACGGTTTGTTCATACGTTTGACCATTTCAGATCCCATTTGGACGAATCAGCAATATGATGCGATGTCAGACATTAATCAGACCTACTGTATCTAATTCTACATTGATATATGTTTATTACCCATACATTACGTATAGAAACGGGCAGATATAACGGTGTTTTCAGAGCCCAAAGGTATTGTCCTCTTTGTAATAGTAATGACATCGAGGATGAAACTGTTTCATATTATTGTCTAGTTTATAGCTCAGAATCAAATATTTTAAACCCTATTACTTCCATCGTCCGTCTGTCTTCAAATTAGTACAACTATTGTCCTGCAAAAATGTGAAGAATTTGAGAAATAGTAAATATTTGATTCATGCTACTTCTAAAAGAAATGTCTCTTCTTCACATTTAATCAAATGGTATAGTTTCAAGCTTAACGTTACTGACGATCACGGTATGATCTCTTTGGTTCATGTATGTTGGTAATATTGTCCTCCGTCATCGTGTTGTAATGAAGTGTAATATTTATATATGATCAATTTCTAATCCTATATGCTATTTGGAATAAAGGAATAGAGTATCTTGTGAAATTTAGTATAAAGACATTGTATAGGTGTGATATATCTTTATATCTTTCAGATGGCTGTTCTTTTCCGCACTGGTAAAATGCTACCCACAGTGATGATTTTAATTCTCCACAACGTCAATTATGTTTTGCTCGGAAATGCTACAAACGGTATGTATACAATTTTACTAGATACGATATAAAAGTAGGTTAAACATTTGGGTCAGCTCTAGGAAAAAGTAATCAATCGTAAATCGTATAAACTGTGTTTTATGGTATAGTACTATATACGGATGGACTTGCTCGTGCTTAACGTGTTAAATATCTATATAATTTATATGCCCTTATATATAACCTATGTCCTTTTTGAGAGCAATGTGATATTATCATCACTGAAAGTCAGTCTATCACCCTCCATCTCAACCATCACCCTCCATCTATCCCATCACGTTCCATATCACCCATTAAACTCCATCTCTACCAACACCCTCCATCTCTCCCAACAACATGCATCTCTCCCATCACCCTCCATCTCTCCCATCAACCTCCATCTCTCACATCACCCTCCATCTCTTCCATCACTCTCCATCTCTTCCATCAACCTCCATCTCTCCAATAAACCTCCCTCTCTCCCATCATCCTCCATCTCTCCCATCAACTCCCATCTCTCTCCATCCCTCCCATCAACCGCCGTTTCTCCTATCAACCTCCATCTCTCCTATCACCCTCCATTTCTCCCATCAACCTCTCTTCATATCTGTCTCTCCTATCTCTTTACATCTCTTCACATCTTTCCCTCCTATAACTTTACATCTCGCCATATCTGTCCCTCCTATCTCTTTACATCTCCCCACTTCTGTCCCTCCTATCTCTTTACATCTCCCCACATCTGTCCCTCCTATCACTTTACTTCTCTTGATATCTGTCCCTCCTATCTCTTTACATCTCCCCACATCTGTCCCTTCTATCAATTTACATCTTTTCACATCTGCCCCTCCTATCACTTTACATCTCTTCACATCTCTCCCTCCTATCACTTTACATCTCTTCATATCTGTCCTTCCTATCTCTTTATATCTTTTCACGTCTGTCACTCCTATCTCTTTACATCTCTTCACAGCTGCCCCTACTATCTCTTTACATCTCTTCACATCTGTCACTCCTATCTCTTTTCATCTCTTCACATCTGTCCCTCCTATCTCTTTACATCTCCCCACATCTCTCCCTCCTATCTCTTTACATTTCTTCATATCTGTCCCTCCTATCACTTTACATCTCCCCACATCTGTCCCTTCTATCAATTTACATCTTTTCACATCTGCCCCTCCTATCACTTTACATCTCTTCACATCTCTCCCTCCTATCACTTTACATCTCTTCATATCTGTCCTTCCTATCTCTTTACATCTCTTCACGTCTGTCACTCCTATCTCTTTACATCTCTTCACAGCTGCCCCTACTATCTCTTTACATCTCCCCATATCTGTCCCTCCTATCTCTTTACATCTCGCCACATCTGTCCCTCCTATCTCTTTACATCTCCCCACATCTCTCCCTCCTATCTCTTTACATCTCTTCACATCTGTCACTCCTATCTCTTTACATCTCTTCACATCTGTCCCTCCTATCACTTTACATCTCTTAATATCTGTCCCTCCTATCTCTTTACATCTCGCCACATCTGTCCCTCCTATCTCTTTACATCTCCCCACATCTCTCCCTCCTATCTCTTTACATCTCTTCACATCTGTCACTCCTATTTCTTTACATCTCCCCACATCTGTTCCTCCTATCTCTCTACATCTCCCCACATCTGTCCCTCCTATCAATTTACATCTCTTCACATCTGTCTCTCCTTTTACTTTATATCTCTTCACATCTGTCCCTCCTATCATTTTACATCTCCCCACATCTGTCCCTCCTATCTCTTTACATCTCCCAACATCTGTCCCTCCTATCACTTTACATCTCTTCATATCTGTCCCTCCTATCTCTTTACATCTCCCCACATCTGTCCCTCCTATCACTTTACATCTCTTCATATCTGTCCCTCCTATCTCTTTACATCTCCCCACATCTGTCACTCCTATCACTTTACATCTCTTCACATCTGTCCCTCCTATCACTTTACATCTCTTAATATCTGTCCCTTCTATTTCTTTACATCTCCCCACATCTGTCCCTCCTTTCTCTTTACATCTCCCCACAACTCTACCTCCTATCAATTTACATCTCTTCATATCTGTCCCTCCTATCACTTTACACCTCTTCATATCTGTCCCTCCTATCTCTTTACATCTACCCACATCTGTCCCTCCTATCACTTTACATCTCTTCACATCTGTCCCTCCTATCTCTTTACATCTCCCCACATCTGTCCCTCCTATCTGTTTACATCTCTTCACATCTGTCCCTCCTATCACTTTACATCTCTTCACATCTGTCCCTCCTATCTCTTTACATCTCTTCACATCTGTCCCTCCTATCTCTTTACATCTCCCCACATCTTTCCCTCCTATATCTTTACATCTCCCCACATCTGTCCCTCCTATCTCTTTAAATCTCTTAACATCTGTCCCTCCTATCACTTTACATCTCTTCACATCTTTCCCTCCTATATCTTTACATCTCCCCACATCTGTCCCTCCTATCAATTTACATCTCTTCATATCTGTCCCTCCTATCTGTACATCTCTTTACATCACATCTCCCTCCTATCATTTACATCTCTTCTGTCCCTCCTATCATATCTGTCCCTCCTATCTCTTCACTTTCCCTCATCTCTTCTCCCCACATCTGTCCCTCCTATATCTTTACATCTCCCCACATCTGTCCCTCCTATCAATTTACATCTCTTCACATCTGTCCCTCCTATCTTTACATCTCTTCACATCTTTACATCTCTTTACATCTGTCCCTCCTATCACTTTACATCTCCCCACATCTTCATCTCCCTCCTATCTCTTTACATCTCTTCCCCTCCTATCTGTCCCTCCTATCACTTTACACCTCTTCATATCTGTCCCTTCTATCATCTTTTCACATCTGCCCCTCTACCCACACATCTGTCCCTCCTATCTCTTTACATCTCCCCACATCTGTCCCTCCTATCTGTTTACATCTCTTCACATCTGTCCCTCCTATCACTTTACATCTCCCAACATCTCTCCCTCCTATCAATTTACATCTCTTCACATTTGTCCCTCCTATCACTTTACATCTCTTCATATCTGTCCCGCCTATCACTTTATATCTCTTCACATCTGTCCCTCCTATCTCTTTACCTCTCTTCACATCTGTCCCTCCTATCACTTTACATCTCTTCATATCTCTCCCTCCTATCTCTTTACATTTCCCCACATCTGTCCCTCCTATGAATTTACATCTCTTCACATCTGTCCCTCCTATCTCTTTACATCTGTCCCTCCTATCACTTTACATCTCTTCATATCTCTCCCTCCTATCTCTTTACATTTCCCCACATCTGTCCCTCCTATGAATTTACCTCTCTTCCTATCTGTCCCTCCTATCTGTTTACATCTCCCCACATCTGCGCCTCCTTTCACTTTACATCTCTTCATATCTGTCCCTCCTATCTGTTTACATCTCCCCCACATCTGTTCCTCCTATCTCTTTACCTCTCTTCCTATCTGTCCCTCCTATCTGTTTACATCTCTCTCCCTCCTATCACTTTACATCTCTTCCCTGTCCTCCTATCACATTACATCTCTTCACATCTGTCCCTCCTATCACTTTACATCTCTTCATATCTGTCCCTTCTATCATTTTACATCTCTTCACATCTGTTCCGCCTATCACTTTACATCTCTTCACATCTGTCCCTCCTATCACTTTACATCTCCCCACATCTGTCCCTCCTATCAATTTACATCTCTTCATATCTGTCCCTCCTATCACTTTACATCTCCCCACATCTGTCCCTCCTATCATTTTACATCTCCCCACATCTGTCCCTCCTATCATCTGTCCCGCCTATCACTTTATATCTCTTCACATCTGTCCCTCCTATCTCTTTACCTCTCTTCCTATCTGTCCCTCCTATCTGTTTACATCTCCCCACATCTGCGCCTCCTTTCACTTTACATCTCTTCATATCTGTCCCTCCTATCTGTTTACATCTCCCCCACATCTGTTCCTCCTATCACATTACATCTCTTCACATCTGTCCCTCCTATCACTTTACATCTCTTCATATCTGTCCCTTCTATCATTTTACATCTCTTCATATCTGTCCCTCCTATCACTTTACATCTCCCCACATCTGTCCCTCCTATCAATTTACATCTCTTCATATCTGTCCCTCCTTTCACTTTACATCTCTTCATATCTGTCCCACCTATCACTTTACATCTCTTCACATCTGCCCCTCCTATCATTTTACATTTCTTCACATCTGTCCCTCCTATCACTTTACATCTCTTCATATCTGTCCCACCTATCACTTTACATCTCTTCACATCTGTCCCTCCTATCACTTTACATCTCCCCACATCTGTCCCTCCTATTTCTTTGGAATTATTTTTTCGTTGACACTGAGAACGGTCCCTTTTCCTTGTTCGATATGAAGTAACGTAATGATATGCGTTCACCTGTATTAGTTGTATTGCAGCTTCCTGGTTGTTGACATTTTTTTGTATTGGCTGTTTCTTACAAGATGGATGTTGTTTTTTTTTTATGAAACTAATGACGCTTACTCTACACATGGGTCTGGTATTCCTTCTATTCCGCGAAGAACCACGGTAATTTTAAGGTTTGGTCTTCTTGTGGTTTGTGATGGCAACCTTACTGAACAACATATGGAAGGTCCATCACATGCTTTCCTGAGAAAAATATTGTAAAGTATCTTCCCCGAGAACACACTCACCTCAGTAAACGGTATTATGGATTCATCACGTAACTACTTATACGTAACCAAATTCTTTCTTTGTAACTAAATTGCGATACATGTAATATTTTTATATTGTAGAGACCATCGAATGGTGCCGATATCAGATCTATACACATCCCAGGACTTGGCTAGAAGCTCGGGCAGTTTGTGAACAGAACAATAAGATACTGGCCCACATCACAAATCAGCCTCAACTGGGTTTTCTGAGGTCATTCCTCTACACTGACCTCTCGATGATGTACTCCGACCCACCCGAGTAATTAGAAACAAGTTATTTTGTTTTGCAATAATGTGATAATAGCGTATAAAAACTCGATATTGCTAATCAAGTTAATCCCTTTCATATTCACAATTGTTCCTGTAAGTAAATCATAACGTCATATTCTCCGATTGCATAATAAGGCGACGAAGGTTACAACACTATCGATTTGTCTTCTTTCTTTCAATGTCAATGCTTTATATAACTGATATTTCCAATTTTACTGGCATGGATTGGGACTTTATGTTCAGAAATATTCGTCAGCTTAACTAAATTATCCATTGTATTGTACAACTTACATGAAGTCGATAATCGTCTTCTACAAAATTCAGTAGGAAAAGTAAAGCAGTTCATCGTCATTTTTTTACATACATGGTCGAAGGAAAACTTCTCTTATTTTTTAGTGCGAGCAATCACACTATATATTTGTCTCGGTGAGTGTATTTTGTTTTCTGTTTCCGTAATGCGCATAAACCCACTGGGCATGTAGTAGCGGAGATGAAGGTCACCAATGCTTGAAAACGTTTCGAGCAAAACTTACATTTATGTATTCACGTTATTACTGATAGATTGATATGCAATGTATAAATACTTCCTAAAAGAATAAATTATATCTTAAACATTACAACCAAAGACATAAACCACAACGGTGCTTGTTTTGGATACGACTTGAAAGCGTCTCCGTGACGTTAACTCTTTCCGGTTGGTCCTTTGCTCATAAGGCTTTTGGGCAGAATTCAACAAAAATGGCATTATTATCAACACAAAAATTATATCTGAAATACGTGAATGTCGACTTTGGGATCACTTATCTTGAATTCTATGACCCATAGATAAATACATCAGTCAGTTTCTTTTTTTTGAGAGAGAGAAAAAAAGCAATATAAAACAAAAAAACATCAGACAAAAATGGGTGAAAACTGCACAACATAAGCACAGTGGCCCATTTTGTGTTATTAGAAAATACTTACATTTTTCTATCAAAGTATGAAGTCTTAAAAATCAAATCTTTGATCATTGTCAAATATAGGAGGTATGAAACTTTTCAAAACTGATATATTTGATTCCTTTAGAGATTTGTGGCTGTCAAATAAGATGGAATATAAGAATTCCAGATTATTTTTTGCTAATTCTTCCAATGTAATTTTACTGCATATCAAAAAAGAAAAGAAAATGTGGTATCAAAGATCGCCTCGAAAATTACCAAGCATTATTCACAAAAAAGAGTAGGAAAAATAACGAACTAGCCTATATCCTAATTTACATATTCTGACGCCTATAGTGGTTGAAGAAATGCAGTAACTAATTGCTAATTTTTGTTTATATTATTAGCATTTGTAAGAGTCCAAATATTGGGATCCTGTAACACACGATACAGCTGTAAAACTATAATGAAAAGGAATGACCTCAAATGAAGAAAATAATAAAAAAAAAAAACAAAAACAAAAAACAAAACAAAAAAATAAATAAATAAAAAAGGTGTCCTGAGTGAGCTTGGAAGCCCCAGAAATAATCAAGGCGTGTGAATTTAGAATTTATTGACTGTTTCCTTCACAGTACATTAGCAGCTGACCCATAAATGATCCAGCAGTAGCGTAATGCCTAAGGAAAAGTAGACCTGGGCCCGTATTCATGAAACCATCCTCATGCTCAAGCATAGATTTTGTGCTCATGCAAACTATTGTATACTTCACCTAAATAATATCAGATGAAACAAATGTCAAATATAAACATTAAAAATAGCATTGACTTGAAGTCCGTACAAATTTGTTTTTTTAAATCTTAGGCAAAATCAGCGTTATATATTAAATTTGAACTTAAACAAGGCATAAGACTTGAGCACAAAATTCATTCTTGAGCAGGAAAACGGTTTCATGAATGCGGGCCCTGATGTACCTACATGTACCTGGGAATTCTCTAGTACCTACATGTACCCGAGGACTCTCTAGTCGTGTAATAAATCTATAGAGGTGATGTACCTACATGTACCTGACGACTCTCTAATCGTGTAATATATCTATAGAGCTGATGTACCCACATGTACCTGGGAACTCTCTAGTCGTGTAATACATCTATAGAGCTGATGTACCTACATGTACCTGAGGACTATCTACTCGTGTAATACATCTATAGAGCTGATGTACCTACATGTACCTGAGGACTCTCTAGTCGTGTAACACATCTATAGAGTTGATGTACCTACATGTACCTAAGGACTCTCTAGTCGTGTAATACATCTATAGAGCTGATGTACCTACATGTACCTGAGGACTCTCTAGTCGTGTAATACATCTATAGAGTTGATGTACCTACATATACCTGGGAACTCTCTAGTCGTGTAATACATCTATAGAGCTGATGTACCTACATGTACCTGGGAACTCTCTAGTCGTGTAATACATCTATAGAGCTGATGTACCTACATGTATCTGGGAACTCTCCAGTCGTGTAACACATCTATAGAGCTGATGTACCTACATGTACCTGAGGACTCTCTAGTC